CAGCTGGGAAAGGCTCTACTTCATGCAGATATCACCCAAGGCAGTGCCAGTGACAATCGTGTCAGAGCCAATCATGATCATCTTGATTTCCAAAGGAAGCCCAGGTACGGAGTTGTAAACTGCTCCACTAAAAAAAAGGAATTATGAACAAAACTGCAGGAAAAACAGACGGCTTTGGTCTTGGCTTCCCAATTCTCTGCAGTGCGTCTTTAACTGGTTACTGGAAAATAAAAAAAGAACATGCGAACACAAATCACTGAAACTGGTGGTGTGTCTGTGAGTGGCAGATGTGTCAGAAAACAGCGGTCCAGTAAGAACAGAGTATGCTACTTTGTACTCAACCCAGCACACCCCCTGAACTCCAGACTGATGAGAGGCCAGATACAACTGGCTGCTTTGCCTCCGTATGTGTAAGTGCACAGTAAAGGCCGGAGGAAAAGCTGCTCAGCAACTATGTCCACATCAGTTTTGCATAGGCCTAAAGCTGAGACCCAAGCTATAACACTCCAGTTCGCTCTCGCTACATATTCACAACACATGACATGCATAAACAAAATAAGCAGATCAGACCTGAGCACAGCAAATAGCTAGGAACACAACCTGCTCAAACCAGCATTACCCTGAGACCAGTGCGCAAATACAAGCTCCTCCTCTGTCAATCTGCAGGTGAATAAGTTCTCTCAAATAAGTTCGTCATGGTACAGTTCCATATTGTTAAGATACCATTTACTGTATCTTAGGCAAATACACAACTTTGTATAAGTTCAATCAGTTTGTAGACTCAACCCTAAAAAAAGTGGACAACAAGCATTATGAATCGCCATGTTCAACAACTAGTGTAATATACCTGCCATTTAACATCGCATGGCAAACACAGAAAATGCGAACAAGCAAGGAAAAAGACACTGCAAGTGATGCACAACAACACAGGTTTGCCAGGGTTACTAAAAAAACCTATGGATATGTTGGTAGATAAATAAGATTCTTTTAAGATCCGGTATGTACACAGAGCTCGTGGAGAACTAACAGATAAATAGCAGATGAGTGACACCTGGAAAGTTCTGCCAACTGGAGAGAAGATTTCTGGCACAACTTCAGTAGGGAAGCAGGGAAATGTACATTTAAGAGTTAAAAACTCCAGCAGCACTTGTTGTGTACAGATCAGTGTTAATGTTGAACCGGCGCATTTCGGCTTGCAGCTTCCATCGGGGTTCAGCTACAAGAAGAAACAAGTTCTCTACGTAGCAAGTACACCTGCCTTAGTGATAAAGTTCTGGGAAGTAACTAAGCTATGACAGGCCTGACAAAATGTATCAACTCAGCCGAAATTGCATATATCCCCGTAAACAGTTTGGTAGGTGTGCGTACGACCGCTCACAATCAAACGTGAATAAGTGTTACCATTTAGTGAGCTACATGTAGCGTCTGTGCGCTGTGCAGATGATCTGTCGGCTGAGAGTGACCATGAATGAAACACATTCTGGCATCACAAAGAGGTCTTTCAAAGTCCTCCGCGGGGCGTCTTCCGTTAACGTTTCCTGTGGGACAGCCTGCCTGTGTTTACTTTGAGCTGTTCGCTAACAATATAGCAGGCCTCATGCGTATGCCTCTGCTTTCGCTGCTCAAATAAACCACCCGAGGTTTACCATATTAGAGCCGACCTTTGAAAGCACAGCTGATAAACGGCTGTTCCCAAAGAAGGACGCGCTCAAGAGCGCTGCCTTGTTTTGCACGGGCTCTGGTGTTAGCTAACCGTGCTCCGACTGGCTGAGGTAGCCACTGTTGTCTGATGTTAGCATTAGCTCGGTGATGCTGGGCTGCATTAACATATCTTTTCCAAAGTGTTTGCTCTATTGTAAGAACGTACATGTCGCATACTTGTGTAATTTCACCAAAGCCCATATAAGGTGTAACAGACACAGTGTGCAGAGCTCATAATTACTAGACACTTACCCCAGCAACCAATAGTCAAATTAGGCCATGAGCCGCTCAGCATGATGATTGGTAACATTACGTTAGCATGAAGCTAACGAACCTGCTATGTGATATCAACTTGCAGCTTTGGTTCGTCGCCTCCTGCTTAACCGCACTAAGGCACCCAGTTGACAACTATGCGTAAAAAGATACTTCGCTCAACGTTCACTTCAATACTAAAATATGTATGCATTATCCGTGTAATGCACCTATTTGTCGGCTGGACTCGCTAGCTAACGGTGGTGGTCGCTGGCTTTCTTACCCCGGACTCGGTAGGATCCTTTTTCCAGAACAATTGAGAGCAATGGCCGAAGGACTCTGTGGATGTTACATAATTTACTCCGTTTCTGTCTTGAAACTCCCCATGTGTGTTGCCGGTGTTTGTCCTGGCATACATTGTCGGTTTTCGGATTCTTCGACTTTTTCTGGCTGAAAAGAAACAGGGCCGCTTTGTCGGGATCTTCTTCCGAAAAGGAAAATATTTCTTCTTTGAAACCAGCATTTTGGCGGTGGACTTATCAACGCATAAGAAGCATTACTGCCCCCTACTGGACTGGAGTGTGACCACTTGTTTCAGACAGATGGCCCGGATACTGTAGCCATTGTACATTTACCGGCCTTTTTATTAGGTACACCTGTACAATTGAGTACACTGTGCCACACTTCCGCTTTAACATATGTGTTTATGAAGCTCATAATGCTTCGATTTTTGGTGAAATTGTCATAAATGTATAAATTCAATTATGTTTATTATTGAGATCACAGTTAAACGTGGTGTTGTACATCATGTTCAGAGGTGTCTGTATTTTTGTCCTCCCCAGCTACATACATGAGAGAGTCAGAATACTAGGAATACCTCTGAATACAGTGTAGTCCAGTACAACACCACCTTTAACTATGACCTAAATAATAAACACACACACACACTACATTTTGCTAGTAATAATTACCTACTTTTATTTAAGTGACATTTTCAGTACAGGCCTTTTACTTGCAATGGGGTATTTTTACATTGCAGTGTTACCAGTTTTAGCCCTGCGATGGATTGGCGACCTGTCCAGGGTGTACCCCGCCTTCGCCCGATTGCCGGCCAGGATTGGCTCCGGCCCCACCCGTGACCCCGTTCAGGGACTAAGCGGTAGAAAATGAATGCATGAATGTTACCAGTTTTACTTATAAGAAGGCTCTGCACATCCTTCACCACTGCTGTAAGCGTTAAGTGATTATTGTAAACTATGGCGTATGACTACATATGTATGCCAACACTGCCATTTCTATAAACCATAATCTAAGCCAACAACAATGATAATTTGATTTAAAAAGTTCAGACAGTCTTTAAGACCTGACATCAAATCCACACACAGTAAATTAAGATACACATAGGTGCTTAAAATAACACATAAAAGCAGATGCATCCCAGTCAGTCAGACCTCTGTACAGTCTCTGCTGGTATGTATGAGGTGGCTCATGCTGTTACAGGTAGCAGAGCCTGTAGGTAGAACAAACAACTAGGACCAACCTCGTCATGTCATAGCAAACAGATTTTATTTACACATCTAACTTGTACAATATAGTCACCCACAGTTTCATGTGCAGTACACAAGTAAAAGAAATCAATGTGAGCAGGAGAGTTGTCAGTCTGAATTGTTTATATCACGTTTAATATCACTATTCCAGGTAAATACTTTGTATATGACATTTTAAGTGTATATATGATGAGTCTACAACACATAGTTTGATCTCTTGTGTCAAATCTCTCAGAGACTTTGTAATAAGTAGAATGACACATAAATAGTACCTAGATTCTGTACAACATTTACAACATATGAACTCACAAATACTGGGTCAAAGTAAAAATGTCAGTACATAAAAAGCTCACCTATCATGGCAACAGTGGAAAAAAATCATAACTAGGCTGGTTAAAAGTAATGGTTCATACCTCCTATGCAAATGCACAAAAGAAAGAGCAAGCAAACTATGAAAAATATCACTAGGTGAACCATTTGTGCGGTGTTTGTGCAGTGTTACATATTACAACTCCCAACACATTCTAAAAACGTTGGGACAGTTGCATTTCAGGACCAGTAATGAGGTAAAACAATAAAAATGATGATTCCATTTGAAACAGGTGATTACACAGAAAGGAACCGGGTCTGCAAGGGCTCAAACCTGGAATTTTCTTGCTGTGAGGCGACAGCACTAATCACTGTACCACCATGCCAAGTTTGCCAACAAATGCATGTGAAAATTGTTTAAAAACAATGTTCCTCAAAGAAAGATAGGAAGTGAGTTGGATATGTCACCCTCTATGGTGCATAACATAATTAAAAGATTCAAGGAGTCTGGAGGAAAGGGCAAAATCACAAGCCTAAGCTGGATGACCGTCCTCTCCGATCATTGAGACGCCACTGCATCAACGATCATCATTCTTCTATAAGCGATATAACCACATGGGCTCAGGATTACCTTGGCACACCTGTGTCAGGCACTACAGTACATAGTTACACCCATAAATGCTGCTTAAAACTGTACTGTGCCAAAAGGAAGCCCTATGCCAACAGTGTCTAGACTAGAGGCACAGTCGACTGGTCTGTGTTTGGAGGCATCTGGGATGGACCATCACACAGTGGAAACATGTACTGTGGTCAGATGAATCAGTATTTCAGGTCTTTTTTGGAAAGAATGGGCGCCGTGTGCTCTGGACCAAAGACCATCCACATTGTTACCAGCAAAAAGTCCAAAAGCCAGGGTCTGTCATGATCTGGGGTTGTCAGTGGCCTTGGTAAAGGTAATTTACACTTCTGTGATGGCTACTTTAATGCTGAACAATATATAGAGATCTTGGAGCAACATGTGCTGCCTTCAAGACGACATCTTTTTGTAGGGTCGCCCATGAACATTTCAACAAGACGATGCATAACCTCATACTGCACATTATTAAGGCCTGGCTGTGGAGGAACAGGGTGCGAGTGCTGGACCGGCCTGCCTGCAGCCCCGACCTGTCCCCCGTAGAGAATGTATGTCGCATTTTGAAATGCAAATTACATCAACAAAGACCCAGGACTGTTGCCTTAACAATTGTTTGCAGGAAGAATGGGACAAAATGACACCTGACACATTTAATTGGTGTCCTCAGTCCCTAAACGACTTTTAAGTGTTATGAAAAGGAACGACAACATCACACCGTGGTAAATATTTTACTGTCCCAACCTTTTTTTGGAATGTGTTGCAGGGATCAGAATTGAAGTGAGTGTTTACTTTGAACAAAGAATAAAATTGATGAGGTGTCACATCAAATAATGTGCTGCTGTATTGTTTTCAATGTAATACAGGACACAGATGATTTACACATCACTATTTTCAGTTTTAATTTTGATTTTACATACCATCCCACCTTTTTCTGATTTGGGGTTATATAGTGCAGCTGCTCTCCTCATTGTGACACACCTGTGGAGGAACTTTTTTGGTTTGGACTGTACCCTAATTAATATATCAGTAAAATATGATTTCTCACACTCAGTGTTTTTAAAAAGCTCAAATCCAGTGACTGAACAACTTGAGTTAAGGGTTAGAGTTTTTCTATAGACACCACCAAAAGTTACATTTAGTTTCCAGCTCTTCAGCCCCAGTTGTTGACAGTTCAGGTTAAGATTTGGCACATAACATTAATTAGTGGCATATTAAAGTACCTTTATTATGAGAAGTATTCAGAAAACCCATGCAGTAGTTATTGATATTAACATTCTGAATACTACTAAAATTGATTTGTAGTATACAGCATATATTATTCATAGGCCTGGAGTTGTGTTGAGAAGACCAAATTAAAGGGTTAAAAACACAATCAGCTGATCTCAGCTAAAAACGCAGCACCTGAGAATGTGTCACTAAGGCCTACGTCAGTGTTCATGTGTGTTGTGTCCATTTTACATGGCACATGAGATGCTGCTCGGAAGCAGTGGCTAAAGGGGTAAACTGATGTCCATCAAGAAATAGTTCCTAAGAGTACAAATTGTTAGTTTATATGTTTTCTTTCCATTTCTGTGTGTACAGATGAAACAAACAAGATAATGAATTACTGAACATTAGAGGTGAATTTTTGAGTTTTGGACAAAGCCAGGCTAGCTGGGTTCCTCTGTTGCCAGTCTTTATGCTAAGATAAGTTAAACATGTTCTGACTTCAACTCCACACTTAATATAACAATATGAGATTGATGTTGAATCTTCTTGTGAACCTCTTGCAAAGAAAGTCAGGAAGTGCCATTCCCAAAATGTTCAACTGTTCCTTTAAGTGTTCCTCCTTCCATGTTTACACTGGCTTCTATTCATTCCCACACAATATGAGTTAAGTAAATTTGCATCTATAATGGTAAACTGGTTTGAAAAATCTGCTCAGCTTTGCTATACAATACTATGATTTTGACAGTGAAATGTTTATACAAATACCAAGAATAGCAAGTTAGCTAACCCTAACCCTAACTGCTTATGATACCACCATGAAATAAAAAAAAAAAAAACTAGTGGCTGCCTGGAAGATGGCACCAAGATTTTTCAAAATCTAAAACATTACAGATTGCTTTGGCAAATGGTTTGTAGTAAACATGCAAAACACTGCTGTGGTCTGTTGTACACTGTGTTTCACCCTGGATCCTCAGTGAGTGACAGCCTTGTTGTAATCAATCATTTTAAGACTGTGTATTGAACAATTAGTACCGTGCCTACAAGGGTATCTAAGTACTTTGCATGTGTTTTCCCCAAATCTTTTCCAGTCCCCAAATTTCAGTAGTTTCAAATGTACAATAATAAAACATTTGTGGCACACTGACAGTAAGTGTGTGGTGTTTGGTTCTAGTGGATATGAAGAATGACTGTTGTGGAGGAATAAATATACAGTGCAGTTGTGTATGCGTGCGTGTGGTTGTGAATGTCTTTCTACCATTGTGTGGACAAATGTCAGTTCAGCACTGTGTCAAAGAGGGTCCTCACAACTATAGAAAGACATGTATACATATTGCATTTCTGGGCAATGCTAGCAGTTGTGAGTAGCAAGACGATTTAGGACATTCATAATTTGGGCTTCAGTTTAAAGTTATAATCCTCAAAATTCTATAAAGCCAGATCCTGTTTTTTCCTGTTCATTCTAATGCAATATTGCAGCTGTGTTAATGTTAATCGGACTGTTGCTACTTCACATTAAGTGTTCAACTAGTGAAACATGGGGCACTTTTATTGAGAAACAGTCTGAAAATGCAATGTATTTCTCACAGAGTATATTACTAACAGCGGCTGTTCATTAAAAATGCATCTACAAAACAAGACATTGTCATTTGCCTGCCTTTATTGACAGCTAATCAGTTTTAAACATTACAAGAAGTAACTCCTCACACAGCATCAAAGCATTATGGGAAAAAGCTGATTATTGACTGTCTTCTTTATTTGAACAAGGTGGGTTTCTTTGGCTGCACTGTAGACAGACAAACCAGTTGCTTTTCAGTTGGATTTCTGACAAAGTAGCAATTCTAAGTGTTTGCTGCCCCCAAAGTGATGGGACCTGGTGTCAAACTACACTTGGCGTTAACCACCAATAACTGGGGAGAAGCCAAATCAACCAGGACTGAACTTCTAAGGATTACAACTTTAAGGTGTGTGCTAATAGCTGGGTAATGAAAGATCTCCACAGCTACACTAATACATACTGTAGGTGTGTGTGTGTGTGTGTGTGTGTGTGTGTGGTGTTTAACTCTTAATCTCCAGAATAGAGGGGTTATGGTCGAGAATGGCCAGAATGATTTTGTCCATGTACTGCCTCAGACGCAGGTTGATCTCCTCCTGCCCCTTCAAAGCATCTACAAGCTGAGACAGACAGACAGACAGACAGACATTTAGAGATCGATCAGAAGGGCAGTCACATCAAACATTAGCACTGCATCCATCCATCCAGCAGCAGACTAACCTCGTCTCTGGATGCATTGTCAATCTCGGCTGCCAGACACTGGGCCTTAGTATGACACGCAAACAGGTTCTTAGCCTCATACAAACTCAGACTGAGGATCTGAGCGTTCAGGTCGTCATTCTGATCCCGGAGCTTATGGTTCTCCTAATAAAGCAAACAGAGAACATTTCCTTTGAGAGGGGATTCTGAATGAGACTTTCTGCAGCAGTGGTATGGGCAGTACAATCTGTCAGTATGGTAACTAAAGGCTCTAAATATACTATAGGAGACAAATTTTGTATAACATTTATCATGACTGTTTTCAGTTAAATCTGCCCACACACCTATTAGTCAACTGTCACTGAACACATGTACTGTGGTATATGACTTCTCATATAGAAAATAATAAATACTAGATCCTGATCAATACTGAGTCTTTGAGGAGGGTACCTACATCACTACTGCAGAGTTTAACAATACAGTGGCAAATATAAACTTTTAACATAAACACAAAACACACATTTTTGACAAGGACCCCTTTAATTATCTTCACCAAGGAGGTTATGTGTCAGGTTTGCCCAGCTGCACCTTCCTCTCTTCCTGTTCTCACTCTAGTTTTGCTTCTTTACCGTGATCACACTATCTGATACACCTGTCCTACTTCCCCAGATCATCACGAGCTGCACCTTATTAGTTTCCTCCCTACTTATACCCTGCTCACTGTTCACTCCCTTGCCAGATCAATCCTTATTTTTTTTCAGGCCCCCTTTGCTCGCTGTTTGCTCTAGTTCTCCAGTTATATTTTAGTCTTGTCCAATTCGTTTTGCCCCTTGCTCCTGCACTTCATCCTTTGTTCTACAGACCTCTCCTCTGGATCCTGGAACCACTCAACCCAACCAGTCTCCTCCATACAGGTCGATGCACGGTCTCCATTAACCATCTATGCATGCTCCTGTCTCCTCAGCCATCATCACTTCAACCACGGCCAGTTCAGGAGTGACCCCAGCGTCCGCAGCCCGGTCTGTAACCATTCATCACACCATTGACTGTTTATCTCTGCCACAGATCAACATCTGGCTACTCAATTCCATTCAGCACCTATCTGTTTATTGCGCTTTACGTTACACTGTAAATAAACCTATCACCGCTTGCACCGAAGTCAGCTACCTGGGTCCGTCGTTATTGCTCGTTCATTGCCGTGTTCGAACTAACATAACAAAGTCCTCTTTACCTTTCCTCAGTGCATGTCACAAAAATAATGAATACAAAATCTTTCTTTTACATGGGGCAAAATTTTTAAAATGCATATCTCTGTCAAAAATGATCAAAATCATTTAAAATTTGACACATCTGTAGGATGACACTGTCTATCACCAGACCAGATTTCATCTGGATCTGATGGCCATTTAAAGTTGACACTGAAAACCCCATTTAATGCATATTTTGTACCATAACTTGGCCTGTAATGAAGACAGAAACCTGAAGTATTCAGGTAAGATGCACAGTATAACTGCCTATCAGATCCTAAAGGATGATCTGGAACTGATCCAGTTAAGGATTTTAGGATACATTGAGTTATTCTGGATCTCATTTTGAGTGAGCTAATGTTGTACCTTGGTGGAGGTACATGCACTTTCTGAGTGCTCTTGTTTGGTTGGTAAAGAATTGGGATATGGATTGACTGGGATGTTTTACAGTGTGAACGCAAACATATCAGTGCTTTCTTTAACTGTTTTTAAATTACCTCAAATACCTTGCTGCAGTGCAATTTCTTGTAGGGTATTGGTTGACATACTGAATGCGCTGATACCAATTTATCTTTGATAAATTGCTATTGGCCAGTAATATCATCCATGACAACAGACTAGTGAGGCTTTGTGCAGCCTATGTGTAGTTTGCATTTTGTGTGGTCTTTAGTGTAAGTGAACCACAACCTAAAGCTTTCAGGAATAAACACAGAAGTGAAATTCCCATAAGGACAGAAGAATGACTGGGAGTGCATGGGTTGTGCACATGAACCTGTTTCAGTCTCTTGACTTCATGTTCCATTTCAATCTCCCTGGTCTTGGCGTTGTACTCAGACAGCCCCTTGCCCTTCCCAGGATGCTCCATCTCCAGCTTAAACAGCTGCAGATACTCCAGCTCCCGGCGCAGATCATCAATGAGCTGCAGGGAACAGATTAGTAGTTTAGTTGGGAAATTTATTTTCCATGTTGTGGAAATAATCTCTGGCTCCAAAAGCTACTATTAAACAGTACATTACAGGGTAGTGGACAGTACAGAATAAAGGTGAGTACAAGCAAGTGGAAAACAGTATTAAAGATACTGAAAATATGTAAACAGTAAATATAAAATGTTACATTAAAATGAGTGAAGGGCTAGATTGGTGAAGCACACATCCTTGTAGGCATCAGTTACTCTATCCAGCAGCTTCAGAAAGAATTCAAGCATCTTCACCTTTTTGCAAGCTTTGAACTGTACAATAGATTGTTTGTTTGTTTTTTTTTATAACTTAAAGGGCCCATGGCATGATTTTCCTTGTTTTCTGACTGATCTACAATGTTACTTTGGTGAATTATCATTTTAGATGTGACCTAAAGCTCAAAAAAAGAGATGCACCTATGTTCTAGTACTTCCGTACAGAAACAACTCTGTTTATACAAGTCTCGCACACTGTCACTTGCGAGACTTTTTTTCTAACAAAATAAAGATCTCCTTGAATGGTTATAATCTCCAGGTAGTTGCACATTCATGTGAGCTTGCCTGCCATCCACTGCTGCAATTGTAAAAGCGGAATATTTCGACTGTGCACAGTTTTGTGGATATATTCTACCTGCTGCTGCACTGTGACCAGAGGATGTGGAGAAGGATACAGGGCCTGGGGTTATTGCATGTCCAGGAATGTTCATGTACAGGGACTCATTGTTTTACCAAACCGGGTCCAATCTACAATCCGCCGGCCAGTGGAGACTGATCAGCTCATCAATACTGGATTCCCCTGGAACAAGGTACCTGTTTGTTTTGACTGCTTGATGCTAGTGTGTCTGCCACATGTGATGTGTTGCTGGTTAACGAGCAGATTAACAATCCATAATGTTATTGTCAGCCCTACGCTACCTGTTGGAATTACTGACATTGGAGCTACTTGAAATGGAGTGATGTTTCCACTACTGTGTGGGACTTAATGGTAAGTAAAAAAAAAAAAAAAAAAAAAAATTTTGCATCTATGTTATATGTTAATGCCTTGTTTCTGTAACGTCGGAGAGAATTGTTGTAAGGCTGGAGAAGTTACTATATCTGCACCAGTTAAAATATGGGGTTTCTCAATTACCTGCTTTGTTTAGAGTGTTACACATCACTTTTCATCGGTACATATACCGTTGTTTACCAATCTATGGAGGAGAAATTCTAATTAATGTCGTTGCAGTTTGTTGTGCTGTCCAGTTTTGACACGACACCAGCAGCAGGAGGTGTTTACGTTCATGAACTATCCTCCCATTTTTAGGAAAAGCTTGTCTGATTTTATTGTTCTGAAATAATTGCAGGCTATTTGGAGTTATGAGGGGTAGAAAGCGAATCTAGAAGTACCCAAGATTAAACATTAAATGGCTTGAAATGAACATGCCATGGCCACTTTAATGTTTTCACTCAATCCACACTCGATAATCCATGAGGACAAAGTGAAAACGTATTTTAGACCTTTCTGCAAATTTATTAAGTCTAAAACTGAATTCTTTAATTTACCAAAATATTCAAAGCCTTAACGCAGGACTTTGTACAAGCCCCTTTGACAGCAATTACAGCTTCCAGTCTTTTTGGGTAAGTCCCTTTGCACACTTGAACTTTGTCAGTTTATCCCAGTCTTCCTGGCAGATCCTCTAAAGCTCTGTGTGATCGGATGAGAAGTTTCTCTGAAGAGCCTTCTTCAGGTCTCTCCAGAGGTTTTCTGGGGTTTATGTCTAGGCTTTGTCTGGGCTCCTCATGGACACTCAGACTTCTCCTGAAGCCACTCCAGTGTTGTCTTGGCTGTGTGCTTCAGGTCAATGTCATGCTAGAAGGTGAACTGTCACTCCAGTCTCAGGTCTCTGCACTCTGGAGCAGGTTTTCTTCAAGGACCTCTCTATATTTGGCTGCATTCATCCTTCCCTTGGTTCTGATCAGTCTCCCTGTCCTTGCTGCTGTGACACACCCCAGAGCATGATGCTGCCACCACCATGCTTCACTGTAGGGTCAGTGTAAGCCAGCCAGCATTACATCCAACGTGGGTTCCCATTTGTTATCCAATAGAATAGACCACCAGATAACGGTGGGCTGAAATTAAAGCTGTATTAACTAACTTCTCCCTATGCTGTTCCACCATTAAGGGTGAAGTTAAAGTCACAACAAACTCAAGCAGTATCCCCTCCTCTTCTCCCTCTGCTCCTCTTCACCCCTTCTGCCCCGTCTCTGAAACTACATCATATGTGGTCACAACAGCCAGAGGCAGCTGTAGCAGTCAGGTAGCTTAATGTATATAGAGATTTATATTTTTGGGGGGAACTGCATCAACACAATGTCAAAAAGGTTTACATTTTAGAGATATGCATACGTACTGTATGTCTAACATTGTTTGTAATGGATATATCTGAAGTAACACAAGCAAATTATACAGAGGAGTGTTTTTTCCAGTCATAGTGATACAGTATAATGTTCCAGCCACTACCGCATCACATTTAATGTTACATACAGTACTTGATGTTATGCTTTGACAGTTGAACCAGCTCCCCACTTTTCACTAAAATGCTACATGGACTGGTGTGTTATGTATGACATAAACTTGACCAACACCGAGCAAAATTATTTAATTTGCTAACACAGGAAAACACACTGGTTTTTCCTAATTGGACAACAAAACACTAACATTGCAGTCAGTTGGAATGACTCTAAATTACAGCCAGAATAATTCAGTGCAAAGGTACAAAATTGAAATGCTAGCATGCTGACATATGCACATTAGCCAGATACAGTACTTCCACTTCTAGCAGGAAGAAAGACATCTGTGTCAAAATTTAGCCCTATGGATGCTTTTAATGGTCTCCATCCCTGACATGCCAAACTGATATTAACCCTGTTTTTGCCTTATTCTTTGTCACACTTTCTGTGCTACAGAACACGACTTCTTGGGTCTAACAGGTTTGCCCCCATCCTGGGTTGTACCTGCACAGGGAGCCTCCAGAGTGCCTTACCTCCTGCATGGCTTCTTTTTCTTTCTGAAACTCATGGCGATTATGCCAGAGCTTGTCCATTATCTTCCTGTAAAGGTCCATCTCATCTTTCAGCCTCAGACTAGTGTCCTCCAGCTTGTCTGTCATCCTCTGTTTCTCCTACAGAGGAAAGACAGCAGAACACCATTTGTGAAAGTGGACAAGCAAATTCACCACTTTCTCTTTTTGAACAAATCAGTTTGGTTAACCCCTGGGTTTGAAGACATCTTGATTATCTTTTTTTTTTGTCTTATTTTGTTTTGTTTTGGCAGTGTCATTGCATTCCCAGATCTCAGCCATTATTTACATTTCAGTATTATTACTGATAGGGACAAGGGGAAAAACTAAAAACAAATAGGTAAATAAATAAATTAAAAAATAATGCCAACATTGTAATGATCTGGAATGATCTTTTCAGTGGTTCACACTCACCTGATCCAGCTTCTCTGTCTGAGACTTGAGTTTGCACACGTTTAACTTCATGTCTCCATTCTCTTCTTCTAAATGATGTAGCCTGTGTATTCACACACACACACAAACATTTGTCCTCCTTTCCGAAGACACTTGCTTATATAATGTAATCCCTAGCTCCACACCCTAACTTCTATCCTTACAATGAGATGCCTAACCACAAACCCTGAAACCAAGTCATAACCCTTTAGCAACCCCTGAAGGTGTGTAAGAAAGTGAATGACCAGCCAAAATGTCCTCACTCCCAAAGTCTAAAACTCAAGGTGGTCCTCATAAAAACAGCCAAACAGGTTTAGTCTCAACACTGGTAGGGACAAAACATCAAAAACTAGGTTTACCTAACGAAGGGTTGTAGTATAACCAGCAGATGGCTGTTGATGTGTGAAGTAATTTTGGTAACACTATATTAGGTAAGAGTAAATTTATTGAGTATTTTGTATTTTGTAGTAGGCCTATCTCTTTTCAGTCTTAGAGGACATCTCATTTGGATTAAAATGAGCTTGTAGCTTTTTATTTACATTACTATGAAACAAAAAAGGCATCGTTTGTATTTTAGCAATGTTTCGCTATTGATCCAGAAACTTCAAATCTGTGAATATCTTTCCAACTTTATAACATACCGCTGCCAACACAATGACCGATAGCCATCGCTTTGTCAGTGTCTGGGAGCAAATCTGACATTTGTAGTTTGGTTTGCTTCGTGCTGATGAGGTCACCTGTTACAGAGCAGGTCTATCTGCATGTTCCTGTCCCTTTCCATCTTGCTGTACACCTCCCGGTGCCTCTTTGTCTCCTCCTCCAAACTCTGATCTGCCTTCGCCTCTGCATCCTTCACCTGCTCTTCCAGCTCATGGACCCTGGGATGCACACACACACGAGTCAAAACAATTAGAAAATCTGTCAGTGAGGCATCATCAGAGCAGCACTGCACTGTGACAGAAATATAGACACCAGGGTTCAGGCTACATAAATTTGGGCATCTTTGTAAAGGACTGATATGAGAGGTGGTAGGATGGGATGATGATCACACGGAGTATTTCAGGCCAGTTCAGGTGATGTTATGCTGTCGGGTGTTGGAACAGAGGGTGAACAGAGACCTGCAGAAAAGTCAGCAGCCTTCATCTGCACTGACGTTTGTGGGCACATTGCTACAGTAAATTGCTTGGTGCATTCATTTGAATCTCACTGCAGGAAAGTGTATTGTATCACTACAAACTCGTGCGTGTGCACATTAGTCATTATTTGTGTCCAGGACATAACAACATATTGGGAACTCTCACACCAGAACTTTGCCCAATAACACTATAGTGGCCAAAAACTACACAGGGCACCGTTAAGTACATGTAACTCGACATTTCTTACAAGAAAATAGAAAATATTGTACTGCACTTTAAATGTTAAAAATCTCTTTAAATTCAGAAAATGTTCTGCAAGTGTTGCATTCATATTTAGCCAGTTGTAAATGTGTCAAGTATGTAACCAATAAGAAAAAAATAATAATTAGGTATTACTTTGTAACGTTTTGAGGATTGCTTGGGAAAGATTAAATGCTGTTCTATTTAGTAAAGTGCAACACTGTAGGTTTTTAGTCCCTAACTGTGACTGTGTGTAGTCTACGTCCCTTCTTATTTCAACTCTACCACAACTGTACATCTCCTTGTGTGAATATCAGACATTTACCAAACAAAATATGCCTCATTTGACTTCTATAACATGAATGTGACTGATATTTAACAACACTGGATAGCTTGTTTGTTTGTGGTGTTTTCTTCATGCATTTATGACTAATCTTTATTTGTAATTTTGTTTATTTTATTTGTAATAAATATGCAACACTTTATTTTGCATTCTCAGACATTGTTGGATCATAGTAGAAGCAATATTTTACAATAATGTACCGACCCTGTAATGACCTGAATCTTAATTCTTTTTAGAGTTACTGTGAATGTAACACTGTGTCTGTGAATTGCACAAAAAGAAAGAGTTTGACTTTTGCACATGAAAAAATATAATTTGGCTGACGGACATGTCATGTAATGATTGTGCAAGACCCAGGAGTCCCTCCCCAATGCCCTCCATGATCAAGAGCCCATGGAGAAGACAGAGGTCTCTGCAAAGATCACCCCCAAGGCAGGAAAAGAGAAATCAGCCTGGAAAAGATTCCGCCACTTTCTGGGACTGAGAAAACCAGTCATTACATGACATGTCTGACAAGTAGTAAGTAGTAGTAGTAGTAAGTAAATCACATGTCATGTGATTTACAAGAGCAAATAAACAAATTAGGTTAATCAGTAACGTGGAAAATGTGAGGGTGCACTACTAGGACATCTGGTTTCTCTACCCTGCACACATTACACACAGAACAGCATCTGGCACAAACCTCACCACCTGTGAATTCATAAGGACACTAAAACCAATAAGAGAGAAGCTACAGCTTCACTCTAGAGTCCTTCACCATCACCTAAGCATTTTTAATCTGAGTTGTTGTTTTTCCCCAATCGGTGTGCCTATCTTTGTTTAGGAGTTCCTGTAAAAAGGATTTCCTTCCTAGCTGTTTCCTGATGTTCAGGATATTTCTTCATGGTCATCCTTTTGCACTGGATTCTTATATGATCTTTACTTTTCTAAATGTCTGCGCTATCTGCAGCATGTACAGCATTAGTTTAAAGTGATGACAACCCAATGTGTTATGCTTAATAAAGTGAAATCTTACACTTGCCAAAAATGTAACTACTATTAAAATGGTAGGACTGAGTTGCTACTCTCCATCTCAGCTGTCACTACACTTCTGTCCAAAATCTCTGCTATGTTATTATAAATGTATCTATCAAAGTATCTCAAGAGCAAGTCAGTCATGTTTCTGTCCTCTACTAAGGAATTCTTTACTGCAAATGCAACCCTCTGCCTGAATTCAGTTTCAGATAATCACATTAAAAACTCTAAAAACTAATTGTGAACATCTGCCATATGAAGAAATCCAGAGATCCTAGCATAAATTCCCTGAAATAAACTAACTGCCTGTGGTCAGAGTGTTAGAGGCTGAGATTTGGCAATGTTCCTCATTTTTGTACTTAAACAAGTAAAGTTTTCCAATTCATTGAAAAAAAAAATAACAAAGGAATGATGAGTTATTTGGGTGAAAAATTGGTTTTCTGTTTTCTTTATCTTTTCTCCCACAATGGGACTGTATGAATCCTGGATGAGGTCATACAGAACCTTAAAAAAGTCTCATGAAAATTTGTCATAAGGGGACGATAAAGGAGTGTGTGTATTTTCCCCACCTGTGGACAAGTTGTGTGTTTTCCTGTTTGAGTTTAGACTTCAGGTCACTGTTGGCCAGACTATCGCCTTCCAACTCTGTCACCTTCTTTTCCAGATAACTGACCTGAGGGAGACAACCAGACTTTCATCACACCCTACAACACATGCAGGAGGCTTGGCTTTGTATGCTTTGTATCATAAATATTCCTAATATCTGAACACATGTAACACAACCTTCTGCACCACCAACAGGAAACTACAAGGTCATTAAACATAAGCATTCTTGCCAAAATGTTAAACTATGCCTTTAAGATAACATAGTGGACTGGGACTATGTGATGGAATTAAGTAAGTGTTTACCAAAATCCTGGTTTCAGTAATGTATAGTAAGTGAAAGTGTGAGCCTGTGTATGTTTATACTTTCTCTGTGATGTCGAGGTCACAGGAGTCAATGCTGTCTGTGAACAAATCCTCTGTGCTGCTGCCATGACTGGACCCAAACACGCTGTGGTTGGCCTGGAACAGCTGACTGCAGGAAGGAGAAGGCACATTGAGCCATAAATAATGTATTATTATCAACTGAAGAAGATGATGATGATGATGTGTCCACTTATAGGATTCTATTTATCACCCTGCTAAATACTGAGCCCATCACTGCAGTGGGTTAAAGTAGTCCCTCCTTTCTATCCACATGCACATTCAAAGATGGATTTTTATCTCAAAAGGTTCTTAGCATTAAGGTCAGGTCACTCACCGTCCAAATGCTGTGCTGGAAATCTTTCTATTAGGGCTGAAACACAAGTGATAAACTGAGTCACACACACAATTACTAAACTAAAACAATTAGTACTACTTCAACCACTAACTCCACTGTCATTTGCCACCCTGTTTGCTGCCACTCAGCATTTGTGATTATGTTTTCAGGTGTTGTGTGTGTTCTACCTATTGGCCTTGAGATTTCGAAGTCGAGCCTCCAGGTCATTGAGTAGATTCACTTTCTTGCAGCACTGAGAACAGTAGATGACCAGCAGCTCGCTGTTACACAGCTGCCGCATCTTCTGAGGAGTCTGGCCCGCACTGCAATTACAATATATATATATATATGTATATATGATTCTTGTGAACACAGTATGCCAGGAATTCCTTGAGGAAGAAATGTCCACTTAGACTCAAGGATGAACTGATTTGATTTTGGTGGTCAAAGGACAAAGGTCAAGGTCAGTGACCTCCCGCCTGTCCCATACCCATGAACTTCACTGGTTTTCTGAGGCTTTGCTTTCACTCTTCATCTAAAAAGTCTGGACACTGTGCCACCATTCCATCTTGCTCTTTTCTTCTACACAGCCTGGAGTTTTATACACGTACTGGCCACTTTATTAGGTACACCTGTACAATTGTATGCAATTCAATGCAACTCTTCTGCCTTAACATCTATGAAGCTCAGAACTGTCATAAATGGATACACTTATACTTTCCAGTAATACCACCTACAGTTGACCTTGGAATATCCAGCAGGGATGAAATTTCACAAACCGTCTTATTGCAAAGGTGGCGTCCTATCACAACACCACGCTTGAAGTCACTGAGTTCTTCAGAATGACCCATTTAGTTTCACAAATGTTAGGAAATAAAGACTGGCTAGGTGTTTGATTTTATACACCTGTGGCAATGGGTGTAGCAAAGAGGTGTGTCCCAATACTTTTGTCCATCTAGTGTCTATATAACGAGATTAAAATATCAACAGATGTCGGTAAGAAAGAAAGAAAGACCTTGAGTTTTTTGTTTTTTAAGATGTTCCTCACCTCTGTTTACAATTTGTTATATATTTTGTAGGTAGGGGCAGCTTTTTTGTTTTCTTTGTCAGTTGTACTGTGGAAAATCTTTTTTGCACTTTCTTGAGTGAAAACACCAAATAGTTAGAATTAGTATGCAGTATGGAACATGGACACAGATCTGAAAGAAGCTATGGTTAACTGACCACCAACCTGGAGGGCAGTGAGGATCCCAGGTCTGAGAATCCATTTGTTCGAGTGTCATCTTCAGGGCAGGGGCTGCTAGGAGTGAAATCCACATCCTCCCCTTCCCCGTAGTCCTCAAACTGCTCCTCACCAGAGATGACGGACGCCGACTCTGAGCTGATCCGGTTACTAGAGTTGCAATAAAAGTACAACAGCAATGACTGATGAAAAATAGGCCCACAAAAAACAATGAACTTTAAGTGTTCTAAGTGTTTTAACAGTTGCAAATAAATCTAATAACATGCTCAAATCAAGCTCCTGACAATACAAGCCACGCTCACATCCTCTCCCAGGCACTAACCAGCCCTAATAAAGGCCCATTCTCAGATGTTGTGACTGACCTGTCTTGTTGAGCTGGGTTCAAAGAGACAGTACTGTTGGCATTCTCAGTGCTGCTGTCCATGTCACACTCCCCATCAGCACCACAACCCTCACTGTATACGCTGCATTCTGGGTAGGGCCGCGTACACATGATAAGAGGAGGCCCTAACTTGGTCTCACCATTCTACAAACACAAAGAAAAATAAACATAAACAGCATATCAACATATCTACATCTACTGCCTTGACTAGTAACAACTCTACCCACCGCGTATAAGGTACCGTAGTGCAGTGTTCAGTACAAAGAAAAAACTGTTTGAGCTTCAAATCAAGTTAAAACCTATCTGTTGTAACATTTGGACAAAAGCCCAAAAAATAAAAGGCACTGGGTAGTGATGGCAAGATTTCAGTATGGTCAGACATTTTGTATCATGGTCCATAAACTGCATACAGCATGTTAATGTCTACCAAAGAGCACAGTGAGCTTTATCACAAATCAATCCTATGCAGCAAAAGATCTAGAGCCAAGCAAGCAATATATTGCATTTGTCATCTACCTTAAGAACAGTGTTCAAATAATGGTCAATAAACTAGATCTTACTCAGGGTTTAAAACAAAACTGCGTGCCATATTAAACCAAACACAGGTTCAGGTGAACCACAGCTGAACTTCAATTGAACTGGACATATGATGAAGCAGCCTTAGAAGGTCCACATCACACAGATGACAGAGGACCATCACACATTGCTGCTCACTCTTAAAAAACAGGAAAATCCGAAATTAGGCTTATCTTTGAGAGTCAATATTTTAGCGACCAACTTGCTGAGCTTGGAATAATATAAAGCATTTGTGTTGTGATTTGACAAAGTCAGAGTCCCATTGTTTTGAAAAGGTTCTTTCTTATACCTGGGTCTGATTTCTCATCTGAAACAGCAGTGCAGTAGTACTTCAACAACATTGTTTTGAACTTCTGATAACACATGGCACCGCTACCATTTGACCTGGGGTTGATTTGTGTGACACGGAGTAGAACACTGCAGTGTGTTATTATTAATGAAACATGTCCCTGTCTGGCTTCACCCAGCTGAGGTGCCACTGGAAGGTACACACCCTCTCACTCACATTTACATACACAAGATTTTCATTTGCAACGTCAGGTGCTTTCCTCCTTTGTTTTTACTTCAGACTTTGGTTTGTGCATTGGTGTGTAGAAAGGCACACACACACACAGTCCAGCAGACATGGTATGATTTCTGAGGGGCTGTTGTGTAGCTTTCATTCATCAGTTATACAGATGAAGAGGTGGGTAAAGAAACAGAACTATATACAAAAGAAAAGAGCAAATGAGAAATAAAAAAAAATCTAAGACAGCAAATTCTCTAAAAGTGGCTGTACACTGAAAAACATATGAAGTAGGGGAGTTTCAGAGGAAAACATTAAGGGGGCACAGGTGGAGTTAACAACTAAATCAAAAATGTGATGCAGAAAATCACTGATTATGCAGAAGCTTATGAATGTTAGTTTTGCCGCTCCTATCACTGTTCAGTTGTAACGTGGCTACATGTGCCACCCCATTATAATATACAATACTGGGATTGCTGAACTGGAAGAAATTACTTTTATGAACTTGATTAAAATAATACCACTCATCTCTCCCCTCACCAGAGGACTTCTACTCTGCCTGAATAACTCACAACACTAGTGTGAACCCACAAAGAGCCATACCAAATTGCAAGTATCAGTAAGAATGGTAAGAGCTTCAGCTGTCACACCCACAGTCAGTAGAAGAGTCAGTGTCCTGTGTTTCCTCTTCAGTCCCAAGCCACCAGTCACACGCATGTGTGTGTGTGTGTGTGTGTGTGTGACCCAAATATACATACAGCATCTCTTATCATAAAGGCAGGTCCAAAATCCACAAAGATCCATTGTATTCCTGAAGCTTGCACACAAGCATTCCTCACATACACACTGCTGTATCACTGCAGCTCAGTCGTTCACATTTGAAAACACACTAATGCTTTAGTTGGGACAAAGCCACACCTCCATCTCTATCACTCCCTCGCTCTCCCTTGTAACTAAGCAACTGTTCACTTGAGCTGATCTCTAGCAGAGACGAAAAGTAATGCACTGCAAGATCATTATCTATAGCCCTTATCCTATAGAGGGTTGTGGTAGCTGTGGTTTAGCCTATTCCAGTGGACACTGGGTGAGAGATGAGATACAGGTCCCCATTGTATCACAGGGTTGGCACATATACTATCATTCCACTGCCACCAGGAACCATAGTGCACCCATATCGCTCCAAGGTTTGCACGTTTCTATTGTTTCAGAAACAGAAATGCTGGGGCTCATATCTGATGTCTGGCCCTGCACAGAGGCAGGTCCCAGAGTGCACTATTTTGCCCCCAACCCATCCATCAACTCACTACATTCTTATTGGCAGGAAGAAACTTTGAGCAACAGGAAGTGTCTCAGCCTAAGAAAGAGACACAACATCTTTAAAAAAAAAGATAGAAAGGAGTTGGCAGCACATTCTGGAGAAATAAAAAGAAGCCAATACTACTTCTCTGTCTGTCAAATCCATGATTGTTCAACCTGCCCAGGAGCTGCTAATGTAGTTCTACAAGGGGATTATTAAATCTGATCTCTGCACACCCTCCAATGCACTTTTTGGACTGCGGAAAGAATAATGGGTGCCAGCCTGCCCTGACCTGTACACCTCACAAAGGGCAAAAGAAGATTCCTGCAGACCCCTCACATCTTGGACACAAACAGTTTGATCTTCTCCCCTCTGGATGGTGCTACAGTGCACTGTATGCCAAAACAACCAGAAACGAGGACAGTTTCTTCCCCAGTGCAGTTGTTCTTATGAATAGTTAATCCATGTCTGCCTGTATAACAGGATCACAGGAAACACAATCAGTGCAACAAACTGTCAATATATCCATTGGACATACTTATCTGCTCTTCGTTGTATATAGTATATGTACAGTATATACATTTATTAATAAATAGTTTTCCCTTCTTTTTCCTAATTTTACTCCTATTTGAATGCACATTATTTATCTTGTTGCCTATGAGAGCCACTGTACTGCAGTCAAGTTCCTTGTGTATTCAAACATACAGTACTTTGCCAGTAAAGCTGATTCTGATTCTGATTCTTGAGAATACATCCACTCCAAAGTCAGAATGAAGACTCAAAGATGGTACCTGGTAAATGTATCCATTATCAGTAACAGATGGCTGGTTGGAGGTAGCACTGTGGGGACCCATAGCCATCTTCAGTATCTCCTCGTAACCTGTGAGGATGGAAAGAAAGAAAGAAAGAAAGAAAGAGGAGGGCAAAGAAACAAATCAAAATATAGTTTGCTACAACCATACTTCTTTCCGGTCTGACCTGCGCTTCAGATGCAGGGCTATAATGGAGGGTAAACACACCTACTTCCATTTGCCAACTTCTCAAATTCTAAAATAGCATTTAGGCACACTTTAACTTATTAATGCAATCAAACTGGTCTCCCTGTTTCAAGTTTCTTTGACAAATTTTTACTCATTTTTGAACCACTGCATTCACACTTCAGGACCATGTCCTCTTAACACAGAGTGACTATAAATCCACCACCACTGAGAGGGGGACGGCAGCTTTTGTAACCGGACAAAGAGTGGAGATGTGCTATCTTAATGGATATACTGACCACAGAGTAAATAGCTGTGAGCCTTATGTGGGTTTAGAGTTATTTTTACAGTGTTATTTAAGTGTTCAACTTATCACCTCTGTAGTTTAAGTTAGTTTGAATAACTTCACAGCTGCTACTTGTATTCACACATTTGTATTCACACACAACAAGTAGTTAACCACAACTACTGTAACTAAAGCTGCATTTCCACTGTTGGAACCCAATGAACCGTATACCCCATGCTTCCCATAACATCACGTGCTGATGCAGTCTATTCTGCTTTGCTTTTCCACAGTATTTCTTTCTCTTTAGACAAGGGTGGGGTCGTGCCCCTCACACACGCAGCTGTGCAGAGCATGTGAGTCAAGGATGACAGCGCTCCTTAGTGCAGCACAGTCAGCGAGTAATGAGCAGCTGTATGAGCAACTGATCACATAGCTGTACTTTGACCAAGCAGAACACAAACTTGCAGACATGTGAAGTCTTCACTACCTTGCCTGTGATCCACTCGCTGAAGTTCCAGTTTAACTTATTTAAACTTACTTACTAAACCAACTTGTTTACCTATAAACCAACAATTGCGTGTTTTGTGCTTGTAAGGATAATAGTTAAGGTGTGAAGACGCTGACATTTAACCAATCATGGACGACAGCTCTGCCAGCACCCAACGCCTCGCTGCTCATGCCCCTGGAACTTGATTTTAGTACTCCCTCCTGTGGAGTGCCAAAATGTATCTACTGGAACAAACCCCAAAGCAGGCAAAGAGCAGTGGAAACAAACACAGAACCTAGGATGAGTGTTACACAGCTCGACACATTTCAGTAGGTTGCTATAATGGAAAAACTTTATAACACTGAGCATGTTTGAGCACTGCTTGATGCTGTCAGAGCAGTAGCAGCAACAGAGAGGAGCTGAGCAGTCGGCTGCAGAAGGAAAGACATGTGAACATGTTCCACTGAGCAGAAGCGGGCGGGTGGCTGGGAAAGTCAAATACATGTTCAGGTTGGCCAATTGATCACTCACCATGATATGAAATTTTAATGAAATAAACAAAAACTATCATAAACATGTAGGATATTATAATCAACATTACTGTGCAGAAGAGATTAAATTATGACTGCACTGAATAAATGATATAGTCCTGGTGTGGTTGATGAGAAAAGTAACTGGTTTCAAAAGATGTTATTTATTCCAATGTGTTGAATCAGGATGAAGATAAACCAGCACAACAACTGTGTCTGAGTATTGTTGCTCTACTAGAAAGAAAGTAATATATCTAATATAAAGTTTGACAGAGGAATCATCGAGTCTGTTCTCTGCACCTCCATCACTGTCTGGTTTGGCTCAGCAACCAAACAGGACAAGAACAGAGTTCAGCGAACAGTCTGGTCTGCAGAAAAGATCATCAATACAAGTCTGCCCTCCATGGAGGACCTGTACACCTCACGGGTCAAAAGGAGGTGGAGAAGATCACTGCAGACCCCTCACACCCTGGACACAAACTGTTTGAACTCCTCCCCTCTGGACGGCGTCTGGACAGAGTCAAATTCCTCATGTGTCCAACACACCTGGCCAGTAAAGCCGATTCTGATTCTGATAAAGCACTGCATTGACATTATTGCATTTTGTGATACTATTATACTACTATTGTGATATTATTATATTATGTTTGTGATGTGATGAGACAACCCTGCCAGGGACCACACTGTGGTCACCTGCTTGTTGTGTTGGGCTGGGCTCTGGGTCAAACTCCTGTTAATGTATTAAGACATTAAGACTGCAGCATTCATGACTACAGCTTGAACCTGAAACCTTCTTGCTGTGAGGTGACAGCTCTAACCACCCCACCACTGTGCCACCCTCTATAATGATCTATCTATCTACTTATTTTTCTTACCTTTGATAGCAAACACTCCATGACAAAAATCTTTGAAGTTGATTTTCCCATGAGCATTTGGATCCAGGTAGCTGGTGAACTTCTTCACCTGCAGGAGACAAGTCAAATCAGTGTTAATTACATAACACTAAATCACAAATCACTTTTTCTCGTGGCTCTCATGGGTGCAATACATATTATCTCTACCAATGACTCCCCAGGGACCTATGCATGGGTGCTCTTTATGGACTTCAGCTCAATGTTCACCACCATCATCCCAGCCTCCATTTTAAACTGATCCAGCTCACTGTGCCTGACCTCAACTGTCAGTGGATCACCAGCTTTCTGACAAAGAGACTGGGGAAAACTGCATCCAGCACCTGGACTATCAGCACCGGTGCCCCAGAGGGATGTGTGCTCTCCCTGGTGCTGTTCTCTCTATACACCAGTGACTGCGCCTTTAGGGATCCCTCTATTAAACTCCAGAAGTTCACAGATGACACAAGAATCATTGGCCTGATTCAGGACAGAGGCGAGGTGCCACACAGACAGGAAGTTAAAAAGCTGGCCCTGTGGTGCAGACGCAACAACCTGGAGCTGAACATGCTCAAAACAGTGGAGAGAACAGCGGACTTCAGAAGGCTCCTCACCACTCTATCCACCCCTCACCATACTCAGCAGCACTATACCGGCAGTGAAGTCCTAAAAGTTCCAAGGCTCCACAATCCCCCAGGATCTAAAGAGGATGACCAACATCAACACCATCATCAAGAAGGCACAGCAGAGGATGTACTTCCTGCACCAGCTCAAGAAGCTCAACCTGCCCCAGGAGCTGCTGATAAAGTTATACAGAGGAATCATCGGGTCTGTTCTCTGCACATCCATCACTGCCTGGTTTGATTCAGCAACCTATCAGGACAGAAACAGGCTTGACCCCTCAGATTCCTTTAGACCCATCACAACCAGGACGCAAACTATCTGACCCCCCCCAAAAAAAGATTTTATTTTATTTTGTTGTGATATTGAAACATGGAATAACCCTTAACACACATAAAAGACCCACCAAAAGCCACTGTGTAATTAGACTGATCTAAACTATACATATGCTAATGTAATTAAAATGAAACCGTTGTTCTGATCCTCGGTAACAACCCCTAATATGTGTGTGCATGCAGTACTGTAGCAGCAGTGTGGTGCACAGTAAACAGAGAAATAAAGATGTGGTGAACTAATCCCTGTGGAAAGTGATGTTTATGTGTGTGTCTTTGGAGAGAACACTGTTTCCCAAATGAAACAAATGTACATATAGGTCTGGTGCAGAGCACCAGCTCACAGGCTGTTTTCAGCAGCTAGGCAGACTGTTCCATTATTTAATAACCAACCAATCCGCCCATAGACTTCTTGTGAAGCTCTCGTTGCCATGGTGACAAAGATGAGAGGAGGTGCAGGAGGGGAGGAGGAATATGAAGAAGTAGCATCCTTTTAGCAAGGCTGAGTTATTTTTAGTGAGGTGTTCTGGGCGCTCAGTCGCCATGACAGCTCAAAGGAAAATTCACACTCACTGTTAGATATTATTTATGTTGACTGATGAGTGCAACTTAAACCTGCCTCATCTAATACTGATTCCCATTTCTCCACTGGGTTCAATCTGTGTCTCTTCTAGCTCAACACAGCAGTCTCTAAATAACCTGAGTTATTCCCACACAGCAGGTATAAGGTCCTCTCCGTGCATATAAAGTAAGCTATTGTATGTGTCATGATTCGGTTCCGCTGCTTCCTGTCAGGCTTTTATTTTGACCTTACTTCCTGTTTTTGTTTCACCTCCGTTTCGGTCTTTTTACTTTACTAATCACTCACATTAGGTTCACCTGCTCCTGATTGTTTGCACCTGTTTGCACCGCATTATAAGCAGCCTTCACCCACCAGTCCCCTGCCAGATTGTTCTAGACACTAGCTCTGACTTTCCAGCATTTCTTCTTGCCTGACGTCTCAGTATCGGACCCTGGATTTCTGTTTTGGACCACTGCATATTGCCTGCCCCTTTAACCTCGGATTGCTTCTATGCGTACTGGCTTAACGGACTTACCTTTGGACAACGCGTTTTGGATTCCCTTGATGTGTTTGCTGGCTCTGATCTTGGACTATTTTACCGACCTGAAGTGCATTTTGTGTTACACCATGTCTTGTCTTGTTTTCCTGTTCTGCGTTAGTGCTCTTATTAAGGAGATGGTTTTGTTCAACATATCCTCGTCTGGCCATTTAAATGAGTTCACCCATGATATATTTTCAGCAGCATCACGCGTCGTTCCTGACAGTATGTCCCTTATGTGAAACCAGAAGTTCATGTTTTACTCCATTTACTATTAATATTGTGCTATGATACATCATTTACATTATTGCTAATCATTTCATAATTTGTACCACGTTTTAAAATTTATTCCCACTGGCTTTATTTTTTCCAGCAGGGAATGAATATCAACTTGGAGCCTGGAAGCCAGACATGTATATGTGTATAGAATAGAAATAAGAACCTGGAACCTGTTATTCTCCAGAAGGTGGAGAATAACAGGACAAAGATCCTGTGGGACTTCCAGACAGACAGGAAGGTACTGGCCAACCAACCAAACATCGTGGTAGTAGACAAGGAAAAGAAGGAGGTAGTGGTAATAGACATAGCAGTGCCAAGTGACAGCAACGACAAGAATAAGAACTGTGAGACGCTGGAGAAGTACCAGGAACTGAAAGAAGAACTGCAGAGGATGTGGAAATTGAAGGCCACAGTGGTTCTCATGATGGTAGGAGCCCATGGGGTTGTGAGCCCTAAGCTGGAAGAGTGGCTCCAACTGATCCCAGGAACAACATCAGAGTTCTCTGTCCAGAACAGTGCAGTGCTAAGTACAGTGCAGAACCCTCAACCTCCCAGGCCTCTGGTAGAAGAGCTGAGGCTGAGAAAGACACACACTACTTGTAGGGGTGAGAAGAGAATTGTCACCTGCATGAAGCACCTTGATGCCACCAATGACACTAATACAACACAGGGCTATACCCACAGACACTGCCAGTGGCCAGAGGAGCTCAGGTTTGTGGTGACAGGTACATTCAAACAACTTTTTTATGTTTTTGTGTATTCACGCAGTTGCGAAAGGAGAACCCATTGAAACATTTTTTTGATTGTGTATTTATGGATGATTCAGCTCATTCATACAGCCCTTTTCACCAAAGCACTTTACAGCTTGCCTCACATTCACCCACTGACCATGCTTTTACTGCTACTGCCACTAAATTGTGGAATAGTCTACCTTTTAAAGTTAGATCAGCTACTGGCCTGATTACTTTTAAATCATTGCTTAAAACATATTTGCCTTGGCTTTTAATGCTCAGTAGGGCCTGATGCATTTTTAATTTCAATTTATTGAATGTGTGTCTGAGTTATTGTGCTGTTTTAATTTTTGCACTGATATTATTTATTCTATTTTAGTTATTTATTGTGATTTTATTCTACCATGTAAAGTACTTTGGTCAACTGGATGTTTTTAAAGTGCTATATAAATAAATTTGATTTGATTTGATTTACAAACATATTCACATGCTAAAGGCAGTGAGCTGGTGCTGGATTGACCAGTGGGAAGCAATTGAGATTCAGTGTCTTGCCAAAAATGTTTCAGAACATGAACAGGAGCTGATCAAACCACCAGCCCACTTTATATATGACTGACAAACAGCCGAGCATTCTTGTGCTAAAGGCAGTGAGCTGGTGCTGAATTGACCAGTGGGAAGCAATTGAGCCAGAACCAGAACCAGCATCCTCTGAAACATTTGCTGTTAGGTCTAATGTAAACACAGGCAGAGTTATAAAAAAGAGTCTACGCTGCACAACAATAAAATAAAGTGTTGGTCACTGTAAAGGTCTCTGCAAAGTTTCTGCTGGTTGGGTTTCATGGCATATTGAAAGGAATAAAATACACACACTAGGCTACATCCACAATTACAAGGCATACGCTGAATCGGACCTAGTCCAAACTATCTTCATCCTCATTCACAATGTATTTCTCCATATGTATATGCTACACATAACAGTACAAAGACACCTTCACTCTTTGAACAACCCAGGAACAGGAACAGCTGATAATTGGTGTGAGCATGTTTAAAAGCAGCTCTTCAGACACACTGGCCATGTCACAGAGACTTTCAGCCAGAGTAAAAAAAAAAAACATAGAACAGAAAAATCCAAAGGAGACAGGTACTATATTTGATTCCAAATCTTAAAGCTGTGGCAATAAGACAATATAGGCTAGAACCACACGGTGCAGGCAATCAAATGATAAATGATGAGCCCTGGCGCCTCTGCTAGCCTCAGGTTCAGCACCATGGAAAGTGCTGTGGACCTGGGACTGGCTGTGAGCTGTCCATGGTGCTGAAGCTACGTGAAATGACCTGTAACCTGGTTAGTTGGTCGTTACACCGCGGTGACAGCCAGCAGCCATCAGTCCCATTCTCTCTGTAGCCTCACCGGACGGCTAACCTATGTGAATTTAGAGGAAGCAAACATGACAGGACTTTCCCAGGCATTTGTTATGTATCTGCCATACAGCAGCGCACCCTTTCAGCAAATTCCCTGCTAATGTCTGCGTAAATGAGCCACTGTGCTAAATACTGTGTGACATTTCGGTTGTTGTTTGGAGCCTGTATGTCTGTCAGTCGCCACTTGTTACTAATCAATCTTATCAAAATATCTTTGGACAGAGCACAGTTTGCTAAATACATAACATCTTCAGACATAAGTCTGTCAGTTTTTATATGTTTGTCTAAGTCATCCAGTCAGTTACATCTGCTCACCTCGTCTCCTTGGCCGAACTGAAGACCGAGGTCCACCAAGTGCTCCACCCGGATGAAGCCATCAGCATCCTCGTCACACACGTCGAAAACCTCTTTGAGCCTCCTCAGAAACTGTAAAAGCTGCTCTTGGTCGGGAAAAACATGTCCTTCCATTGTATTGCTCGCTTCTTCGGCGAGAGACTCAAATGGACTGCAAGAGAATGGGAATGACGGACGCCATAATCATTCGTCCTCAGCTCCGCCGGAGAGGTGCTGCTGCTGCTGCTGCTGCGGCGGCGGCGACGTAAGCAGCACCGCTGGCTCTGGAGGCGAGAGAAGTTACGGAAAAGGGCGATGATTTACGATTTGGACATGAGGCTTTGCGTCACAGGCCTTCTGCTAATTAATAATCCAGGTGTGTTGTCATCCGCGCCAAAGTAAAATGGTAGGCTATATTAAGCACATGCTTCCGTGACCATCAGCTGGTTTGTTAAAACTGACTTTCTAGCTGGACTGAGTCTAATGAAACGACAGTGTGTTACCGCTAAGAGACACACAGAGAGAGAGAGAGAGGATTGGAATGAAAATAAAAATACTAGGTCAAGGAACCTTTGAGAGAAGATAATTCATTCCTTCTATTAAAAACTTATACAAGCCATAAAACACACCCAGATGAAGACAGTGCCAGCTTTTGCCAAATCAGCTGGTACCTGGTCTAGTATGACCAGTGGATTATGGTGGCTAAAGAAAACAATGTTTGCAAAGACTAAACACATATTTCTGCTCAGCTATTCTCAACTGAATCATTTTGGCGACTTAAAGAATCTCTACTATTACTGTGAAGCGGTAAAGATAAAGATTTAGGACACAACAAGTGACATTAATATTTCATCATTTTTATGTAGTAAGTCCAAATTTTGACTTTCTAAAAACTGTATTTTACCATCTCATAACTTTGACATAGGACTATTATATGCTGCACTTTTGACTTTGGTATCATCATTTTGACCGACAATGACTACTTCCTATTTCTCAGATTCCTTCCATTTCAACCACTTCTTTCCTTTTCATTGCAGGAATGGGCTTCCAAAAAGTCATTTCCACCTTAGAATAATACAAATTGATACAAGTCAAAGCAGATGATGCAGTGTTTTATTAGAAAACAGTTTATACAAGATTGATATCCAGTCACATCTCTGTACAAAATGTAAAACCATAAACAATCACAAACTCCATCTACATATTAAGGTAAAATAACAGCATTTCTCATTTAACCCAATTTAAAACACTTAGAAACATTTCATATTTACACCTGTACTGTGCAGTAGCTCTTCAGTTCAAAGTGATGACTTATATAGAATCACAGACAAGATAATCAATCATTAGGAAATACCGTAGCTGTCATATGCCATGTGAAACAGTTACTCCCAGTTTGGCCTTCGAGTACAGGGTGAATTGATCCTGAAATAAAATTAACAAGAAAAAAAACTAAAACCATCTAGCCAGACCAGCTGGATGTACAAATTCAGTTTGGCCAGATTTAGATGATTAGTCTTGGTTCTAGTAGGGAATCCCACCGTTCTGTCACCTGTGGGAGGAAAGCAGAGACATTACTATATCTATGATTACACTACGATTAAAACAAGATCTAAGTACTACAGGAAATGATACCAAAAACAGTACACAGGTGAAAATTATGCAGTTGTTTGATGATATCAGTTTACGACTGAGCCCCACACACTTCAATAATTGAGAAAAGGTCATGTGAAATAATGAAAACTGTTCTAACTGGTCTGGCAGAACATTTTGAGTTCACCTAAACAATAAAATAGTTTGGGGGGGGTCTGGAACTTTAAAGCTAGGTTAATCAACATTTTGATGTTAGCTGATAAACACTCTCATAAATCCAATGTGTGTTACCTGTCCTGCACCAAACAGCAACTAGCTGTTGGTGCACAATGTTGTAGCTAAACAACCAGATAGTTTTCTATGAACTTAGTAGAGACCAAAAGAGAGCTATAACAGAGTGAGCCAATGTTACATTAGCAGGTGGACAGAGACATGACTTTAAATTAATGTTTATGTTTCTCAGTGGCTGCTCAGTGAGTAAATTGTTTGTTAAGACATTCACCATAGCAACTTTATAAGTGTATTTATCAGACAGTGTTTGCAGCCTGTTATACTGCCCCTAGTGGCCAAAAAAAAATTATTAATAAAACTTTAAGCCTCATCAAAATAAGATCATCACACATTTTGCTGTGGAATCCCTTGAAACCTTCCTCGTTGGCCTTGGGGGTTAAACCATTCTATGAATTTCAGTCAGTAATAAAGTAGCAGTTATATGCTAAGGCTTACCCAAGCACCTCTGGACACTGCATACTCCACTCTCTCTGAGCCATCTGGATTCTGATAGACCAGGTCAAACTTCCCAGGTTCCACAGGAGCTGAGGGAGAAGCAGAAAGGTAGGAATAACTGCAAATGTGTGTTACCTATTAGGAAAATATTGTACAATGTAAATTACATTTAAAATTCCATTACTCATACCGTGTCCAAGTCACTGATCTTTGTGTGTGGAATTCCTCCAAAACATCATGATACTGTAGGAATTTCATGAGGAACCATAAAGTTTGACCCCTAATCATAATACTCTATATCCATAGTAGGTCCACAGTGTTATTTAGAAATGTCTGTGCATGCAAAGTAAAGTAGCAGTGTGAGTCCACCAATCTTTACTAACTGCCTCTTTAAAAGAACATTTCCTGCACCGTTTTCAAAGGAAAGCTAATCGTACACATTGATGCATTAACTTTGAACTAGGGGTGTGCGATATACATCATTTACTATGGTATCTTAATTGTTATTTTAACGATGTGCCACTGTATGGGAAAACTGTGAAATATAATATTTTAAAATGGGATTATTAGTGTGTCAGCAGTGAAATGATCCCTACCTTGAGAGACATGAAATAGCTCCAGCTCAATCTGTTTGGTAGTTGGGTCAAAGCTCACAATCTTCCCCTCCTGAAAAGTACACAGTTGGGGTGGTGATTCCAGTATGAACGAACAGCTAAGACTTCCATAAGATCATCTCTTCAACATCCTTCCCAACAACCTGAGCTCAATAGTCATTTCAGATTACTGCAGCAGAAGTGATACACTCACCTTATATTCTGATACCTCTGGAGTATAGTTCTCAGTTAGTTCCAGCAGCTGTGAACACACCCACACACAAAAGAACTGTGTCAGGAAATGAACATTACAACTGAACACAAAGTTCACTAAATGAACTGATGCCACTGCATTTCCTTTTATTGATGGCAGATGTGTGTTAATGGAAGACACAATCATCGACCCGGTTTATTACTGCTTACACTCTTAGATGTAAAATGAACAGTTTATCTTAAAGCAACATAAGAAACTAGCTTTTAAGGCTACAACTAACAGTCATTTTAGCATTGATTAAGAATTGCTCCCGAAAGTGCCAAAGAAATTTTCATTTATGAGTGCTTCATGACGTAGGGACAAATTGGTACCTGGTAAGCTAACTGCTAACATGCTAGCCAGCTGAGAACAAGCTAACACCAGTCTGTCACAACAGCTCTCTGAGCTCCTTTCATTTTTAAAAAGCTGTTTTTTTGTGCAACAAATCACTAAAGTAAAAACTTTTGGAATCTGTTTCTCAAGATATGTGTATGGTGTTTGTTCTTATGGTGTTTAGTTGCTGCTCTCTATGGCTGCTGGAACACAGGAACTTCCCCATTGTGGGATCAATAAAGTCCTACCTACCTACCTGAAAACCAATTATATTTATGCCATGAAGGAAACCTGCCTGTTAGTTCAGAATGCAGAATTAGCTGTTAGCTTCACAGATCTGCTCAGAGCTCTGGATTTTATGAAGGCTGTGAATAGTTTTACTCTGAAACTGCAACAATAAACCCCAGTGCTAAGGTAAAACGCTGTGTGCTCATGGCCATGTAATGAATATTGCCAAAGGATGTTGGGCTCTATGGCTGACATGCATTCAGATGCTTATTATTTTCAAGAGAAAGAAATAAACAGACATGCAGTGTCACTTTTCATTATCTGTGACTGATCAATAATACTGACTTGTATTGACAGTTTGCCAGCAATAATGTACAGTAACCCAGTTAAACTAATAAAACCTGAACAGGCTTACCTTGAAGGCGATCTTCTGTCCCACCTGTGGAGGGGCAGCCAGCAGGGGCATAGAGCTGTAGTCTGGTTTGGGAGCACTTTCAGCTCCATTCTACACACAGACACATGCAGGAAGACAAGAGATTGTTAATCCTCATCTCTTTTCATACAGTATTTCATAATAGACAGGAAATACACTGAGAGAGATGTGATTGTACCGCCAATCAAAGATTATGACCTAGGAAAGACCACTGACTGTATATAGGATAGACATTGTGACAGCTCCCAGAGGTGAAGCCACTGCGACTTGCTCGCCCCCTGGTGGCTGGTTGCAGTACAGATCATTAATCATGCCCCCACCATGTTAATGGATGAAACATGAACTGAACTAAATAATCAAAGTACAAATCAATTTCTTTAGGGCTAGACCCAAATATCTGACCATTCAAATATTTGTAAGTTTGTCCCGCCCTTGTTGCCACACAGCAGTGCCAGTGACACCTACTATCTTGTTAGCAAAGCTCTGTGTGGTCAGGTAGCAGCTTCTGCTGACTGTTGCCGTTTCTGCTTAAAATGACAACCGCTGGAGTTATACCAGCTGTTGCTAACTAACGTTAACTCTATGACTTAAAGTGATAACAGGACAAAATGAAAATGGATTTTGTTGGGTTTGTGACCTCGCTGCAGCTGGCAGACAAACAGACAACACTCCATCTGCTGTTAGCTGAAGTAGTTTGTGAGGTAAAGAGGCATCACTCTGTATCACCACTGAGTAATTACAGTGAAACGAGTGCTTCTCTGTCATTCCAACAACTCCAACAGAGTGAGACATTCTTACAGGTAAAACTATGTCGATCTCACAACAGTTATGGAAATGTAGCACATTCTGTGTGTACATGCAAATGGTTATGAAGATCCATCATCTGTTCATGTTATATTATACTGTATATTACCTAATATCTTTCATTAGCTTTTTTCAGTTTTTTATCCCAGTATACTGCCAGAAGGGCAAAAAGGTGCTTTCAGCTGCGGCACAATGTCCGCCCATTAATGGTTTCTTTATTTCCATGTTTTCTGCATGAATTATAAGGTGGTGAAGATGCTGAAATTCTGCTTGGGATGTGTAGCTTTCACCCCTTTTAACATGATGTCATCTACGCAGCCATCAATTACTTATTTAAGGCACTTTAATGCACACACCCATTAAATTTCTCTTGTTGGGAGACAATAAAAGAATGGCCACTTTTAGGATACAGTTAGTGTAGTAAAATATCAAACTAATTTGAAGCGTGTAAGAAAGTGTTAAAGAATCATACAGTGACTAGACTAGTCATGAAATCCCAGAGACACACATGTATAATAGGTAGGTGCAGACAAATGCAGACATACCTGGATGCCCACAGACACGTTGGTCAGAGAATCAGTATGGTAGGATGGCTCCATGGCTTCATTATAGATGGACTCTTGGCTGCCACTGTGGTCTTTGATGGCCCCTCTACCTACACCCCTTCCCATCTCTCCAGGACTACCGTACCTGGTTTTTCCCAGACTGCAGCTTCTCCAAGATTGAGTACCCACGCCGCATTCTGGCTGCTGCCTCAGTCTTCGCACTACCAGTTCAACCTCCTCTTCATTGTCTGAGGTATGAGGCTCCACAACTTTGTTGTGATGAGGCACACCTATACTAGCAGCCTGTTTCTGTGAGCAGTTTGTGGACTCAGGGACTGGAGTAGGCTGCTGAGATTTTGAGTTATTTTTTGTTCTAACTTTGGGAGGTGTAGAGGTTAAAGGTTTGTTTTTTGGTGGGATTTTTACACTGCTACTGGAATCTGAAGAAGAGACATTTTTTGTTTTTGTTTGTGTTGCTGTGGGCTTCTTGGTGTTTTTTTCTGGCTGGCTGACACCAGTTAAAGTTTTTTTGGGAGAAGCACTTGGTTTGGGGGTGGCAGAAGGGCCATTTTCCTCTGTCTTCTTCTTCTTTTTCTTCTTCTTCTCTGTGTGCTTTTCTTGCGACTTCTTATTCCTCTCATCACCTGAACCCTGCTTAGCGTCCCCCTCTAGGCTCTTCTCACTCCCTTTTTTCCTCTTTTTCTCCTTCCATTCCACATTTACTCCATTTTCTGCTGTGGGTCTCTCTCTCTTTCTGCAGCTTTTACTTAAAGTATCTGGACAGCTACTGTGCCCATTCACCTGCACCAGCGAGTGCACCTTCACCCTGGCAAACAACACATATTTGAATGGATGAGTCTAACATCTTCAAATATTTTGTCACCTCAGCCACATAACTTGAGCTATAACCATAAAAATTGGTAGACCATTAAAAACAGCTGAACTCTCTAGATAAAGTAAGTGAAACTTGAGAAAATGTTGTCACAATATCAGTTTTTATCAAGTGGCATGGACAAACAAACAGGACCACTGCACTGACAAGGCCAGAAAAAGAGCACCATGTCTGGTGTAGTGGCCATGCTCTGATCACATTATATACACCAGCCTAAAAAATAATTTCACCACACACATTCTAAACAAAAAGAACCTATGTAAAGCAAAGAATATGTTTTTTCAGATCATCAAACCCTAAAATTAATCTTGGTATGAACAGAATTAGTCACCAAAACCTCAATGGACATTCTCACTATGCAGGATGGCACATTTCACATCAATGTAGCCTAAATTATTGGATTATAATTACTGATGCATTACTGTGTTCATCACATTTAGCCCAGTATTGCAGCTGGTGAAGGTGGAGGTAATGTTAACTACCTTATATGCTTATAATTTGAATTGGTGCTGGGCAGCTTGTGAACTTCCCACCAAGGATCAACAATATAGATAAGTACTGATATCTCACAGTACTCAAGTGCAGTACTTCAGTAAATGTACAGTTACTTTCCACTGCTCTCACTAGCAATACAACAAAGTGTCCATGAAGACGCACCTCACGCTGTCGTTGTCCCGCACCACATAGACGCTCTCTGTGTGGGGCAGGTAGCAGTCCTCTATGAAGAGGTTAAGGATGCTTCCCCGGCTGAACTCAAACTTCTCTCTGATGATACTTTCCAGATCGGCCACCACGCGACATGTGTTTAAGTCCACGAGCAGCCAGCACATGCGGCAATCAATGACG